GAGACGGTAGGGAGTATGAAACGAATTATTTGGAAGAGAATAAAGTCACTATCAACTCTGAAGATGCAGAACTACAAGGCAACGCATATGTAACAGAGAAATAAGATTTATTCTTTTAAAAATTTGGTGTTGGCTGCCAAAATCCCTTGGAATTCTCTCCTTATTTCTAGCTGCCAGCCCATATGTAGTTAGCTTTTTCCCAAAGGCCCTACTGCAACAACCATGCTGCTTCTACCAGGCCTAGCTCCCAAGTACTGCAAAAAACCAAGACTGTTCCCTTAACTGCTCTCTCTTCTGTCATTCTATCATTGTGAGAATCACTTTGCACATCAGCACATCTCTTGGCTATGCTAGTATCACTCTTCTCATAGCTCTTCAGTCAGTGTCCAGGTCTGATTTCTTCTTTTACCTTCCACACCTCCAAAATTTAAAATAAGGAAACAGTGAAGCCACTTTCACCTTCCTGTGATGTCAAATGCAGCAAACTGTCCCTTTGACAGAAAGGATAAGACCAGCAAACCACAATTACCCTGTGATAGTCTGGGGCAAATCTCAGTGTTTCAGTGGAAACAGAGAAGCCACCTACACCAACACAGAACAAACTCTCATAAGAGATCAGAGACTATTCCGCCACCTCACAAGTCCAAAGGACACATACTTAGTATGACCAGAGAAGAACGTCAGAAACCTAGAAGAGATAGTACCCTCAAGAGAAAACGAGTAAAGTATCCACGCCCAGCATCCCCCCTCCCAGCCAAGGAAGTACAGTGACTAAAAAGAAGGTCCTGGTTTGAAAGACTACAAAAGCAGTGTAATATTGTCTGGGAATGTGGAACAGGGGTCTTAGTTGGTGAGCTGGGGTGTGCAAGAAACTGGAGTGTATAATAATTTTTCTGTGTAGAATTTTGGGGATACAAATTAATAGATATCTCTATCAGAACACGCACACACAAAACAAACATTTTACGTGGTGCTGGACTTCCCATACTCATATTGTTCAGTTGATTTGTATCTCAGCAGTAATATATGCAACATGACCCAGAAGCACCTGCTGTGTAAATGCTCTAACTAAGCTGTGAATGGGCATGAAGTCTGATTCCTTCAAAAAGCTGCAGGCTTACTGCACATCAGATATTTCCAGAACTTTCAGACACAAGGCATACTGTTTGGGGTTCCCGAAAGCCCAAGATGCCAAATGTCTGGGCAGTATCTTCTAGCTTCCCACCCCATTTGATACTTTCAGGCAAGGAAAAATAAAAATGGAAATACACAAAGCAAAGCCTGTTTGGGAACCTGGACATATGGCAGCCTATAAAGCCCTGAGCAGCTGCTGCTGTTACTACCACTGTGAATGACACCAGAGCAAATTAAACTTACAAACCCTTGGATCAGAAAATTGAAAAAGTCTGGTTTTACATAATTTAACCTAGATCAGACAACCTGCCAAGAAAATATCATTTCTTGATGAACCCATGCACCTTGGCTGAAATTACAAACTATGAGAAGAGAATTCCTTGTTTCTGACTGCAGTAGCCCTCCCAGGCTGTCTGGTATAATGTGGACTGCCATTCTACCTTCTGACTGATGACAGGGAAGCTTGCTCACTTGCCTGCCCTAACCAAGTAAGATAAATCTGTCAGAAGATCCAGTATTAAAAAAAAAAAGCAGCTGAGTACTTGAGAAGAGCCAGGTTGGTCTTGTCTTAAGGTTTGAAAAAGACGTTATGAAAGAACAAGAAGCTCATGAGACAGAGGTCTAAGAAAACACTGACCCTTTCCCTGCTGAATTCTTGCCAACTGACTGCCCATATGAGTTCTAAAAGATGAACCCGAGCAAGGTTGGCTGCTGTTGAATCCAAGCTGCCCACTGGAAACGCAGAAAATCTGTACCACTTAGAAAGAAATCTTTCCCACTAGCTTTGGTCCAGATCTTGGAGATTAAGTGTCCTGCAGAGCCCATTATTCTTTAAGGAGAAACCTACTGTCATTTTCAAAAAACAAGTGACACAGAAGCTTCTAGGAACATTTACCATCCCCACCACTAAGGATTATGCAATTACTTGCAAGCAGGTACTCGAAAGCTGGTTTAGGTTCTGAATCAACAAGCTTCACTATCTTAAATGCCTGCTTTTTTAACTTTATTATGCAACTGAGAATGTTTTCAGGAAAATTCTTTTTTAGAGCAGTTTTAGTAAGGTCTTGACTTCAGTGACTGGAAATTAGTTTCACTGGATAATGAATAATCACATTCATATTTATTGTCCTTAGGTTACATCACTAAACTTGTGATAAAAATTATAATTATTATAAATACTTCTACTGCAAAACATGTAACCACGTTTAGTGCCTTTAGAGCAGACTGTGAAAGGATGACAAACTTTGTGGATGGACAGAGTGAGAAGGTGAGACAGAACTGGAGTACTGAGAAAGGACAAGGGATAAATGAGAGTGTAGATCTGGCATCGCCTTGATGAGCCACAAAGGCAGGGCTGCAGCAAATGGGCCAGCGGCTGACAGCCATGTCGCAGCTGTCAGATGTAAGCCCACGTACAACTCGGAACGTCTCACCTCTTGTGTAGCCCTGCAGACTTTTTGTCTGAAATACCATGAAAGCCTAAACCATCATGTGAGTGGGAACAGCACCAAAGCTTAGAGAAAGTGACAAAAAAAAGTGTCTCAAAAGACAGAGCACTACAGATTTATAACATAACATTCTAACATATCCACAACAAAACTCAGGATCTCCTTAGCCTTTTGAAGAACAGACTACTGATTTGGGAGAACTTCTGAGAAACATTTACGTAAGTCAGTACGAGGAGAGTGGAAAATAAAGAGAATGAAGATTTGTAGCCCAAATGCTATAAATTGCAAGCATTAAAATAAAATTTTCAAAACAAACCTCAGCAGCACTAGGCTTAAATTTACCATAGAGCCCTAGAAAAACTGTAAGGACTGAGCTGGAGAGGCAGATGTTTGAACTGGAGCCAAGTACAAGCCAGATAAGAGATCCATTTACAAAAAATTTCTATCCTTGCTGAATTCTTCAACTGATAGATCAGAACCTTAATGGAACAAAACAGGAAGCAGTCATCCAGCTTCTTCAAGCAGTCATCCAGCACTGAGCACGGGCTGACACCCATCAGATGACCCTCCGTGAAACGCTCGCTCTAATGCAACGGATCAAGTAGCAAGGAAGGCATTTACAACGCAGGATAGCTATCTCCATATCTCATGACCTAGATAGTCCTTTTGGAATTTTCCCATTAAATAAAAGTTCACAGCCTAAGTAATCCAGCACTACCTCCTTTTTCTTAATTTCCAGATTTACATAAAACCTTTAACTTCTGGTATTCTGGTCATTCAATACAAGCAGCCATGAAGAGGAAGTAACTCAGTAAAGACATTTTTCTGCCTCTTGATTTGCAGATAAAAACAGAGCAACTGAAGCACTGAAAGACGAAACAGTTCATAAAAGGTTTGATGATGAAATCTTACACCAGCTGTGACTGGATAATTCTGAAGTCTCTTCACTATACAAAATAAATGAGAATTTCTAAAGGCATTAACCACCCATACAATGCTAGACGAGGCACAGCCCTGGAAGTCGTTCAAAGTGGAGTCCTGGGCATTAAATGGTGGGTTCTCAGATGTACAGTAACATACAACTGAAATGGTGGTAGCTGCAGTGACTTCTGCAGAGTTGTGCAACAGAAGATTTGGACCATGAGTAATCCTTTTCCAGCTGTAAATGTGAGTCCACGCAGAGGTGCAGGCAGAGTTGGAAAGGAACGGTAGCTCCAGGACAGCCTGCGCTCTGCTGCTCCCTCAAAGCTATGCAGGAGGGGAAGGTAGTTTACACCTGCTGGATAGGTTCTTTATTTGGATTAGGTAATAGCTCACCTGGCTGAGCTCCAAGAGCAGAAACACCACCACCTTTCTCAATAACTCTAAACCCTAGAGGCAAATATTGTGCTGGAACAGAAACAGGACAGGAATTCAGTTCTCATATTCTTCTTCTTAGGCAGGATGAAAAGTGACTGATGACATAAGAGCTATTTTACTCGAGCTTTCAAAATCCCATTCCAATCCTTCTATTGAAAGACCCATTTGGGGAAGGATGACCACTCAGGTCACGTGCCTTCTGCACTGTGCGTCTGCCTCTCTGACCTCCCTCCATTTTCCAGGAGCATTCAGGGACCAATGACAAGCATCAGTATTTTCATGCATTCGGTGCTTTTGGAGAAGCTCTGCCTCATTATTCTGTTTTAAAAGACAAAAATGAGAGCTTACGCAAAGAATAAATAATATTTACTGAAGTGGCAAAGGAAGAGCTCAAATATTCAGCAGTTGGGGCTTGTACTCAGCCTAGTCTACTGCAGCAGCCTCACCTTCCACCTAGCTTCCAAGATCCAGAATCCTTGGGGTAAACCTTGCTGTTCTTTCAATCCTAGGAAGAATGGTTTTAGTGCAGAATCACAGTCCTGTGCCGTGAGTCCCACGAGTATATCAGCCATAAATATAAATTTCAATGTCCAAAATCAATAAAGAGCACAAAGAAGCCGTCTGAAGAAGAAGCTTTTATAAACACTGCAAGATGCTGCTTTATCTTTGAACGATCTAAATTTGATATTCAAGGAAAAAGCAGGAAGATGAGGCCTTAGTGGAGATTCCTGCAGTATCAGGCATAAGTTTGTGTTCTGCATATGCATCTCAACACTAGCAAACCTAAACTTACAGATGCAGGGATGAGCAATTATCAAAGAGAAATAGACATTCCCTTTCATTCTACAAGTTCATCCATGTCATTATTTCACCACAAACCTGCCAGCTCTGGGAACACGGTTCTGTTCTGATGGGCCTGGTTTCTGATAGTCCTGACAAGAACCAGTACTAGGCCCTCAGATGCTATCTTCTGTCCAAGAAGTCAAACACAAATTATGAATGAGCTTCTGAGTGCATTGCATTCTTCTTCAAACAGCTGGAGTAGCAGTTTTAACTTACCTGACTGTTGAAGAGACAGATCTTTTGTCAGCAATGTGAGTGTCTGACTGAACAGCCCACAATGACCCTCTTCTGTGGAGTGGTGACTGGCAGCTCTGTGGAGCCGCTGCATTTCCCTTGCTTATAGCACCACTTGACAAGTTCAGGTTTGTTAACTACAGAGGCAGGGAAAGAAAAAACAACAAAACAAGACATCAGAAACAAACACCAAGAAAAGAGCAAAAGGCGTCACTAAGTAAACTGGATAGATAGAGAATTTACTAAGAGAATTAACATTGCTAGAAAAGGGAAATCTTGAGAGGCTGAAAAACTGTGCTAGTTGCATAAAGCTGTGGGGGAGATGGCACTAACAGCCACCATGCTTGAGATGAATTCAAATATCAGCATTAAAACTACAATCCTTCCATTCACAGAACAACAAAGGAGGAGAAGAACAAAGATAGGGCAAAAATCCCAAAGACAAGAAAGAAACATCATGTTCCTGCCATGTGAAAAATTAACTCTGTGTGCACTAATCAAAAGCTAGAAGCTCATATTACACTGAGCAGAGACTATAGTACCTGTCCAGTCATCAGGGCTGTGTCAGGAAGCCAGCAGTACGCACCTGTTCTCTACTCCCTCCACACATACATAAGGGCACAACCCAACAGCATCCATACCTTGAAAACAATACTCAAACCTAAACTCTATGAACAGACACTATTTGTCGGTTTACTGAAGTCAACCCTAAATACCATGGGAGTAGTTATTGGATCCGTCTTTCCACACTTTTGTTCCTAGTTCCTCTCCCAGTTGCTCACATGCCCTATATGCAAGGGGTTCCAGCTTTATTCCTCTCCCCAGTCCACTCCTTTTGCCTCCCTCTTTGTTCACCCTGTTTTAGAATGTGGGCTCCTCGTTCAACCACATTTACCACACTGCAATTCCTTCCACTTCTGTCCTTTCGCCCAAATGGTTCTCAGTGTCCTCTCCCAAACTACGTCCGGGTCCACATCTCAGAACCTCCTTGCCCTAGCTGTTCTCCACACCTTGACAGAACACCCATTCGTTCTGCACTCAAGTCCAACAGGCTCCCAAGACACCAAGTCACCGAGAACACAGAAGAATGGGGTCTCAAGCCTCAGTATTCTAGAGGTGCAAACACAGAGAAATTCAGTTTAGCATCTCCAGCATGGAGGGAACCTCCAGGAAGCTGAGAAGTTCTAGCAGGTGCTGCCGAGTATATTTCATCTGAAGCTTTTTAGATAGTTACTGGGCAATCAAGCCTGGACAAAGCTTTAAATTCCAAATTGCTATTTCAAGGCATGGGAGATACAGAGATTTAAAAGAAAAGCTCTGTAGATATTAAAACGCACGTATTTTACTTTTTTAATCTAGTCTCGAATTTGGCTGAAATGCTTCACCTTGCCCAAAGTGTTCTGAAAACTGAACATTAAGCATAGGAAACATGAGTCCAAATGAACAAAGTTTAAGAACATTACAAGCAATTTAAAACAAGATTGTATGGTGAAACATATTGGGCAAGCTTAGTAATGGGCAGTGCTACCTGTCTTATATGGGAAACACCATTAGCTTTCATTTTGGTGCCTTTACCTCACCCATAAATGTTGTTGTCGGTCGCCAAATTTAAATAAAATTTAAAACATTTTCATTACAATAACAGAAAGCTTCAAATTAGCTTTAGTTCTGATTGTGCCAGGCACTATAGAAATACCTAACAATGGCAGTTTCTGGCCACAAAGAGTTTATTGTCTGAAAAGAAGCAAGAATGGTAAATGAGGCAAACAGAGGCCAACGTGGTAAATGAAGCAGGGTACATATAATTCTTAGCTTGTCAGCAACAGTTTGCTAGCACATCCAATGTGTGAAATGAAGATGACTTTATCCTATTTTCTTTCCTCATCAACTTGATACCAAGAACCATTTAGACTGATGAATTGCCACCTCACCCCTGCCCTATTAACGCGATACACCTTCCTCTCTATTACAGTATCACCCTTTATTTGAGAGCTATCTTTCTGAGCAAAGCAGGTGAGCAAATAGCTTAGCGTGGGTAGTAAGGACATTTCACACATTCCAGATAGACAGGTGTTTAAACTACAGCAGGATGAAATACAGGCAAGGGATTCAGAATGAGGGAGAGAACACCAGTAGGAATACAAGGTTCAGCGGCAGCCAGCCCACCCAGCTGGGTGTTACTGCTTGTTTCTGTGCCCTGCGCTGAGGCATTTCAGCTGCCAGAATTAGCTTGCCAGGATGTTGCCCTGGTGGATTGCTGGGGCACCCCCAACACATCTGTGCTTCATTTTCTAGCCACTAGTCCTCCTGGGCACCTGATGAAACTGCATTATTCCCTTTAGAGAGGCAAATACTTAGCAGCATTTCAACTCTTATTTTGGCTTAGAAGAAGATAATGTATAGCACCTGGACCAAAGCAGATACCAAAATCTCCATAAAGAACCATTTTCAGCTTCGGAAATTTTGGTAATGGAAAACAAAGCAAAACAAAGCAAACATACAAGCAAAAACCCAAGAGAGGGAGGCTAATGAGGCTCAACAGCGAAGGTGGTTATTAGTGTGGATCTACAAGGATAAAGTTAAGTTTTTACATTCAGTTGTATCAAGATGGGTTCAAACTCTCCTGCTTAGTAAGATTCCTGTTTTTCACTAGCAGCAAGGGACTTCAGAACATTTTTTCCTGGCAGTGACAGTATGACAGAAGACCTGTGTGTGTTGCACTGCACGTTTCAAGCATCCCTCTTGTCTAACAACTCTCCTTACATCAGTAAGCTGTCTGTGGAGTCTGTAAAAAGCAAGCTAATGTATCTCATGATAGAATGATTCATGAAGTTTTGTCACAATTTTTAAACTGTTGAGGACAGCAAAAAGATCACAAACTGAAAGGAGTATGCCAAGTGAAGAGCACAATGGGATAGTAAATCGCAAAAACCTGTCATGGAAAGAGGAGAGCCCACTCACTGTACTTCTGTTTGTCATCCAACGTCAAGGAATAGGGTGGGAAGAACATGTAGGTTGTTACAGCCACATCAATAGACAGAACCTTGTGTTGGAAAACCTAACAGCACGTAAATGTACTGTTATACTTTATTAAATACAATGCTAATAAGTCAAAACAAAAATTATTGCATGATGCCAAAATACTTCATGTCTTTACTTATTTCTAAGCATTACAAAGAAAGTGTACAACTGAACTGCACTTGCCTTCTTGACAGCAGAGACACATAGGCTTAAAAGAAGCCTTGCTTTATTCAGAGAATTTGTTTCTAAATAAATTTAAGATTGAAAGCAGGGCCACAACACAATGATACCTAAAAGTGCTGGATATAGGGGTTTTGCCTTATAATTTAAATTGGAAATATTAAATCTTCAAACACAGATTGGAAGCAAGAAAAGTTTCAGTATAGCATTCGTTTCTAATGAACAGCATCCTACAGACGAAGACCCATTGTATGGTATCTTTAAGAAATCACAAACGAGAGTCAGAAGAGGAGCTTAGTATCTTTCATACTTCTTATCTACATTATACTGTTCTTCCAATGGCAACTCTTTATCATATTCAACTCCCTTATTTCTGTAATAATGTGAATATTTTCATTTTTATCTTGTATAGTATTTCAAATGAGCTAAAGCAGCAAACTTTAAACATGGCAAAAAAATAAAGGAAAAAAAAATCAGTGCTACAGATTAGCCTCTACAGATTCAGGAAAAGGCCTCCTAAAAGCCTGAGTGTTTCTCTTGCCAGTTTGCATGAGTTAACCAGGGTAAACAGGGACACACCATCACTAGAAGTAGTTACTCTGCCTCTTGGCAGAGATTGGAAAAGTGACTAAAATTTTCATTACCAACATCCTGAAGATCAGATTGAGAGTTTCACTGGTGTTACAACACTAAGCAAGCAACATACTACAAAAAATGCCTACTTCACACTCCCCAGTTGGTAGTTTTAGTATTTTTCTGCCAGAGGTTAGTCATATCCTGTTGCCTATGAAGTGCTGGGGACTGGAGATCTACAAAGTCTAAAGACCATTTCTCTTACTTGGAGCCACACCTGGATCCTCTCCAGTTCACGCATCTCATATTTCCATTTGGATCTTTCTGACTGGCGAGGAGGAAAATGGAATCAGAGTTTGAGCCATATATCAAAGATCAAAACTGATAGATATGTCAAAAAAATGCAGTCATCACTAGCCTATTTTATTGTCTCTTCCAAAAAAACCCCTTCAATATGATAAAAAGTTCATAGTCTGAAACAGGAGAAGACCTAATGCCACATAGTTTGTGGCACACTGTACCCTATGAACAAGTTTCACAGGTACATAAGAACATCAACAGTTCACAGAGAAACCTTTTCCTCTAAAGAAAAATTGGACATGGACCAGGGTAAGACATATGTAAGATCACTGCTCCTCTACCTTATGACCAGACCAGAATCTTTAGGTTTTGGTGCCTCACACAGGACAACATGACACTGTGTCATAAGCTCCAAGAAGGAAGCATTCCACTAGAAAACTGAAAATATTTAAAAAGTCTCATCATTTATAGTGTCTTCTCCTTTGCCTTTTGATGTACTCTTTTCCTGTGTGCTCAGTTGGATATCTCCAAGACCCTTCAGTTAACTCCTAATTTTCCATTTTATTATTTACTGTTCAACAGCAATGACATCTTTATACAACAACTTGTAAAAGAAATGTTTCTCTTCTTCCATTACCTGGCTTTTGTAGTCACTGTATTTTCACCTGCCAAGCCACCCTCAGACACACATACCCGAGGCCTTTGAGACCAGTGAAATACTTATATTCTCAGGAACAGAGCGGAAGAGCTAACAACTTGCCATTAAAAAAATAATAATTTTCTGCACTCTTTCAGCTATATTTTTCCTCTTTTAGCCTTCAGAGATGACTACAACAATGTAAATATTTGCTGTTAATCTGTCCTCTCCCCAGTCCGTGTGTTGCACTTTCTTGGCTTCATCACAGAGCTCCCACGTACAAGTGATGACGCAGCGCAGGCGAGCATCACTTGGTCTAACGGAGCACCCAGCTCTGTTCCAGTACTACTGGAAACAGTCCACCTGTCTTGCCTTCCTTAATGCATCGACATACTGGAATCCAACAGGCCATCCCAGCGTAGGAAA